GGGGGGGGGATTTAGTAACGCAATATAATTACGTTACTAAATCAGAATACCGCAAAGTCTTTATTATAAATTTTTCATTCTCTTAAGAATGTAGAGCTAATTAAATGATCTAAACAAGACCTTAAAGTGGTTCCAGTTTCTCTCGATGGCCAACCTGTTGAAACTGTGGCAAATCTTAAATACCTTGGGTCGTTCCTGGACAGTCAGCTCAACTTTGCTGAAAACACTGACTATATTTTTAAGAACTGTTCTCAGAGACTCTACCTTTTAAGAAGACTTTGTGATCATGGGGTGCCCCAACTAGAGTCTAGTTGGGGCACCCCATGTCTTGAATTTGGGGTGGGGGGGATCATATTTTATTTATCACTACAGAAGGGTTCAGTGAATGCGCACATGAAACTGGTGGGTTCGGTACCTCAAAAAAGGTTAAGAATCACTGCTTTAAGCATTCCTGCTTCCTTTCTCTGGGGTAATCTGAGCCAGAGGGTGAGTTGAGTCACCCCCTGCTGCTAGGAAACAGTCATATTCATCATGCAACCAAATAGTTAGGAGGAAGGCCTCATTTCATGGAGTCTGTGAAGTTGTGAAGGTAAGAACCACAAGAGTAAAGTGGGTAGATTTTTGTGTAAAAAAAAAAAAAAAAAAACTTAGTGAAAGTGAATTTAGTTTACCATATGTTTCATAAGAATTATGAAACATATATTTTAAAATCTGTTTTAATATATGAGCTACAACACTTGGTCAGAAACCTATCATGAAAGCACTTTAGCAAATAAAGTCAAAATGGTAGATTTGGGTGAGTTAAGCCTTTTGGCAGGAGAATGTCGAGTCATGACAACTTTTTTTGGACATGCTACATTATTAATAATATATTATTATTAAAACAGTTATACTTGTTTGATTGAAGGAATGGACAATATCCTGAAATATATGCAGAAATACAAGTTAGTAACCAAAGTTGGTTTGATGTAATGATCTGTTTCATCTTCTCCCAGTCTCCCCCAACACATCCCAACATGGCCCCTCAAGCTTGCTGCACCGTTTCAGATCCATCAGATTGTGGGGTCTTCTTTTGTCCACTGTAGAGATTTTCAGGCAGATTTAGTTCTGAACTTTGGCTTGGACTTCACAGAACATAACGTTTTGTGATGCTTGGACTGTGATGCTGAAAAATTAAATCTCGCTTCATCTTTCTTGTAGGAAACGTTTTGGGTGAAATCAGGCTGTTAGAACAACAAATAAATTCATCCATCATCTATTTATAGAAAAGCATTTCCAAATCATAATTTTGCAAACATATCTTAGTGTTGGTGTCTTTTCACTAAACATACAATAAGTCCAACAGTTCAGCTGTCAGTCAGTTCCCCTGACTTGGACTTTCATACAATTAGGTAATTTGCAGACTCTCTCCAAACTATGATGATAGCATAACAATGAATACATGTCAAGAAACTCCAACAATCAACTTTTATTTCGGATTGATGTAACCTCAAAATGACTGAATATTCCAAGTGAAGTAAAAAGCTTCTCCAACACGGGTACTACTCGAGGGTTGAAATCAGTTTATTGTAGGTTTGTATTTGTTATATCTGTCCCTCTATTTTGATAATTGAATTTTGCAAAAATATCCGTTGCATCATATATGAAAAAGGCTTTAAAATAATTTATCATGGTCTCATATTCTTCCAGGCACAAAAATCAAACATTTCCGCAGGGTGTGTAAACTTTATATTTCCATTGTACATGCAGTGATTCTGATTCTCCAGTCAAAAATGTACAAAAAATTAAAAAAAATAGCGATTTGGCTCTTCACAGATCAGCCATTTTCAGGAAAATGTCAAACTTAGTGAAAGTTTTTGCTGCCTGGATTGAAAAGCATATTTCCATATTTTTCAGGTAGAGGGAGTAAATCCTTGGTTTTGTATGGATTTAAAATGATATGCAGAACATCAGTGTGGACACACAGAGCTAAATGTAACAACGCTATCAGGAAGGAGAGACACACAAAACACAGAAATGCAAAAAGGAGCAGCTGAACAATAGACACACTAAGCTGACTTTCACAGCTGGTGGATTATTTTAGGATTTGACTACCAACTAAATAACACAGCTAATTATGTGTTGCGTCAGAAAGAAAAAAAAATAACCAGTGTACATCGCTCGTAGTTTCCAGCTTTGAAAGTTTCCTCTTCCTTGAAAGCTAACACGCTATCTGAATAACCAAGACAGACCAGCTCTGATGAGGGGTCGACTGCTTATTTATCTGATTTTGAAGCACATAAATCACCATGTCGACAAGTCGCGGGATGTGGTGTTTGAAATTAAACGGTAAGGATGCAGATATATTAGGTCTGAAGAAGGAACAATAAATGGCCCATGAAGCCGCTTCTTTCCTGCCCATTTGAGCCGCACGCAGACCGAAGTGAAGATTTAGTAGCTTTTCAAATTGAGGAAGGGAGCAGAGATTTCTGGTTCATTAGGTGCCCTCTGCTCCATTCGGCTCCCGGTCTGGGAAAACATATTACCGGTGGCTTGGTGCGACTCCAGCTGGATAACGTCTGCAGCCAGCGGAGAGGATTTTTTCAGCTTCATGTCTCTGTCTGCTTGCAGCGTTGCAGAGCAGACAGACCACCCACCTTCTGAGCCCCCGTCTGCGCTCACACAGTCACACATGCACACATTGATGTCACTTACGTTTCTGGAAAGTAACACTGATTCATTTACCCTCAACATAATCTGCCCCCTCTCTTAAACTCTCTCCTTCCTGGCTCATCCTGAGACTTGATGAATAACAGTCTGAACATGCAGGAAAAATGAAGCGTGATAAAAATTGTTGATTCAAATAATGATCCTCTATGGGAGAAAGGAGAACTAGACTTGCAGACACATATTCCTTGAATTTAATCCCTCCATCTTATCTGTTGCAACAGTTCTTAGCTTCTTTTCTAATCGGTGTATGCAAAAAGATGGCTGGGTAGATGGCGAAGATTAGTTTGATTTCTGCTGAGTAGAAATGGCCTCTCTCTGCCTCTGCTATTTTGTCCAAATGATGCTTTATGTTTTCCACCAAGTTTATGAACATGGATGTTAAAATAAAGAAATCTAAATTGGGAGTAAGGGGTGTGTACGGATGTGAGTGGAGTAATAAACTTACAGGTCCAGGACGCGTCTAGATACCTCCCTACAGTCTGACGTGGGTACTGCAAAAAGGACAGATGTAAAGACAGTCACAGGTGTGAGATAGTCTTTTTTTTTTTTTTTTTTAGAAAACTTACTTTTAAGATAAATTAGCTTTAGAAATATAAATAATGGATGACTCATTATGCATGCATTTAAAAACAAGCATACCTAAAGTACACATGTATGGAGTTATACTCAATAAATTAGAGCGTTACTAAGTTGATTTATTTCAGCTTGTGTCATGCTCTGTTGGATCAATCTGAAGTCAATAGTTCTGAATTAACATAGAAAGCTGGATGAAAACAAACTCACAGAAAGAGCATGAGGAAGACAGAAAATGATAATGGAAGAATCAGCAAATAAAACAGAGTTTATACCAACACAAGGGTGCTGAATGATATTAGTTCCCTCCAGGTGAGATTAATCAGGGGCATTTGGAACAGCTTTGAGAAAGACGAGAGAGCCAACCAGTGAACACAGAGGGACGTGAACTAAAACACAAATCAATCTGCAAAGCAAGAGGAACTGAGGGGAAAAATAAAAACAGAAAACACAAAATGTCACTTATTATTCCTACATTTAGCTAAAAATAAACAACTATAAAAAGAAGGAATGTATAATCTGATTAAAAGTTTATATATTCTATGTAAATAGAGATTGTCTTGAAAGCTAGCAAAACTGAACCAATGGCATAAAATGAAAACAAATGCAAGGGATGTTTTTCTGAAGTATCTTCTAAACTACACAGGTAAAAAATGGTAACCTTTCACAATGCCCCTTAATATGAGACATGGAGTCAGTGAAGCGTCCAGTCTGCCCTCAGTCCGACTTGAGAGGCAAAAAAACAAACAAAAAAACCCCAGATCCAAGATGGTTTTTGCCTTTTGTACAGTTAATGGTCCCATCTTGTTGTGAATCGTGCTGAAGGACACGCGGTCAACGAATGAAGCCATGAAAGCAACAAAAACAGAAGCCCTTGGCCAAATGGTTTGTTTTCTGTTCTAGTGCAGAACAGCTTTCTTTTTTTGCAGCACTTACAGTTCCTCTCAGACACCACTTAGCACTTTTTCCGGCCAAGGCCGCAGGTCCCCTGTCTGCAGCAAGCTGAGGTCCTGCAGACTTCCTGCAGATTAGCACGCTGGTCAGTCGTATGTTTTCCTCTGCTTGGTGGGGTCATCTAGACCAGGACTCTGCAACTCTTGCTAGAACTGCAGCTCTTAGATGTGCCCCTGGTTCATCACACTTTAATTAAACACTACGAAGATCTATTCCTGAATGCATGCGTACTTATTGTATTTTCTAATACAATAAGGGATTTTACAGCACAATCAAGTAACTATCTTACTTTCAGTTGTTATAAGAATACTATATATCAAATATAAAAAATAAATGTTGCTTCCTAAATTAACACCTTCTGTCAGACTGTGGCTGCAGCGTAGTAGCTAGCAACCATCAGTGTGAATGTGATGGTTTTTGCCTTTTGTACAGTTAATGGTCCCATCTTGTTGTGATGAGACCATCACAACAAGATGTCTCTTTAAAGACAAATTAAAATTTGTCTCTTTAAAGACAAATTTGTCTCTTTGTCTTTAAAGAGATAAATTTGCCTTTTGTCTCTTTCAAGACTCCTGTTCATTTTGAAACTCCACCTTCAGGAAGTCATCACAACATTGCTCCTCTCTTACCTCTTTAACATGTTAACCAGGGTTTCACTAAGAAGTAGCTCCTATAATGAGCTCAGCAAACATGCAGTTCCACCAGGCCTGTACTTTCATAGCGCATTATCAAGATCAGAAGACCCTGAAGCTCTTTACCAGTCATTCACGCACACATTCACACTGATGGTTGCTAGCTACTACGCTGCAGCCACAGTCTGACAGAAGCGAGGCTGCCATGCTCCAGCACCTCTGGGTCCTCTGACCACCAACAACAGGCAAGGTGGGTCAAGCGTCTTGCCCAAGGACACAACTGAGGCAGACAAAGCGGGGTTTGAACCGGCAACCCACCAGTTACAGGACAAACTCCAACCACTGTCGCCCCAAGCTGTAGAAACAGGGCGTCAAAGTAGAGTCTGACTAAGCACCCAATAAAAGAATTAGCATGAGGAAACAATTAGTAACGCACTAATCCAGCTTTTATTTGACCTGCCAAGCATTAGTGTGTTGCTTAATTGGCAACAGCAAAGCAAATAAGAAAATAAGAGCACTGGACACAATGACGAAGATCTGACAAGGAACCAGAGAAAACTCTCCATATGTTATAGCTAGCAAAGTTATGGCGCACATGTGCTAAGTGATTGAGAATAAAACAAAGCTTACCCTAAACCACTAGAGTAGTAAACCAGAACCATCAAAAACCAAATAAAACCTTAAACAACGAGGGAAAAAAAACATCACAAACCACCAAATTATGACAAACTCATGAAATTTTTATGGCAGCAGTTTAGAAAAGCAGCTTAAACAGGTAGTGAGAGCTGATAAATGAGATGTTGTGAGACAACGCCCCTAGGAGGTCATGTGTGTGTCACTGCAGGACCTGTGACCTTTTAAATGTTCTGGAGGAAGACAGGAATGCTGGCTCATTTACTGCAGCTGCCTACAGGTGGTGAAATGTTTAAGTGGTAAACCCGAAAAAAGGCAATTATGAAGCTTAATTAGGCAGTGCGATGTAATGCATGCGAAGTGGCATTTCACCCACAATTAAGCCTCATTAAGGAGCAGCCATTTACTTCTCTGGCAGTGCTGAGGTCATGGACTAAGGAAGAAAGCACAGACCTCTAGTAGTGAAGCTGCAATCCCGGATTAATACATAAAGCACTGCTCTCCGCCCTGAAAATGGCAAAGAAAAAACCGACTGCTCCCTGACTTTTTTGCTGTCACGGACTGCCTTTGAGGTCCCATCAGCTTTCCCCTGAGACTGATGATAAGAGGAAATGTTTCTCTTGCCATCTCAGTCCCAGGGGTTTCCCAGGGGAAACCTCGTGCTTAAACGTTCCCAAAACCCGGGGTCAAAAGGCAGTTATAAAGAAACTGAACGAACAAACAAATACTGCCATTGGTGTGCCGTGTCACTTATTTGTATAAACACAAGCTCAAGTTCACATGCCCAACAGAATCCAAGAGGATTCTCACAGATATTAGCTTGTTCCTTCCTCATTTAAGGTCTTCTGGGAAGTAAATGAAAGGTACGGCCCTTCTGGAAGTCATAAACTACACAAAGGAAAGGCAGCTGCTGAACGCAACCCGAGACGACTACACTCCTCGAATCTTATCAGCAGAGAGCTCCGACCAAGGCCAAAGACTGAAACCAGAAGTAGGGCCAAAAACAATCGAAAAATGTCTTCCTGTTGCTATTTCTGCATTTAAAATCACTTCCTCACCACTTTCAGAGAATATCACTAAATGTAACATACACACAGCACTAGTACAGCCACACAATAACGTACACACACATTTGTGCAGATGGTCATAAATCTACACCTGAATGTGCAGAAATCTCACCAGGGCATGAGAAACCTAACAGGTCAGAAACATTTGACTAAGAAAGAAAAGAGCTTGGTTTTTCTGATTCATGGAGATCTGTTTAAATGGTTTGGACTGGGATTGAATTGTTATTCTGCAGCTCTGCTATGACACCTAGTGGCTTCATGGGTTGCATCAAAAACCATCTACAAAACTATTCATACTTTATTGTGACACAATTATTGGTTCCTGCTGTTTATGCTGTAAACCAGTGGTCCCCAAGCTACGGCCCGCGGGCCGGATCCGGCCCGCCTCTACATTTGGTCCAGCCCCCTGAACAATACCAGAAAGCATTTAGATTTTTTTTTTCATATAGTCTACCGTATTTTCCGGACTATAAGCCGCTACTTTTTTCCTAAGCTTTGAACCATGTGGCTTATATGTGGATTTTTCTTCAACCACCAGAGGGCTCTTAACCAGGAGGGGAACAATGGAAGGCAAAATTTGAAATAAAAGAAGAAAGCGGCCATTAAACTGGAATTAGGTTTTAATAGGGAATTGAAATTTGAGAATGTTGTTGATCAGTTAAATAGCATTGAGGGGAAAAAGAAGATTTTTCATTTTTTTTAAATAATACTGGGATCATTATGAGAATTTGAGGTATAGATATTAGGATCCAGTAGATACATTAATGGATTCAAGCTGCCATTGAAATCTGAAGAAGAAGAAGAAGAAGAAGAAGGAAGTGCCCATTTTCATTTAGCACATGCTAGTAGCAGACGAGAAGGATCAACACTTTTACTGTTACCGTTACCGTTCGGAAACAACCTAATCAGTTCACTTAAATCTAAACTTGGCAACTTTTCTTTTTCAACCGTAATAAATGTGATATTCAATTTACCTGTTATGACTCAAATTTTGGGTGTCCGCCCCCCTCTGCTGCTGCTGCTGCATCGCTGTGGAAAACCTGGAGAGGCAGATATCTGCGGCTTCTAGTCCAGAAAATATGGTATTTATTTAATAAATAGTGTTACTTCCTGGATTTTTTTCTGTGAAGAACCCAGAGAGGGTTATTTGATTGTGCTTTTTCTGCTACAAACCGTAGTTTGGGGACCACTGGTTTACAGCATAAACAGCAGGAACCAGTAATTGTGTCACAATAAAGTATGAATAGTTTTGTAGATGCCCTCCAGGCAAAAAACGGACACAAGGCGTTCTTCGATAGTTACTGGCATTTAATAATTATGCCGTGAGAACTGTACAAAAGACATAAAATACATTTTACAGAAAGAAAGACATTCACATAAAGAATACTACGGTAAAACATTTACATAAAGTGGCTTGACTTACAAAAACAGACTCATTACGTCATCCAACACGTGGCTAACAAACTCGACAAATTCTTAAAATAAAACATTCTATTTACAAACAAAACTAAAATACAAAAATGTGTACCTCATTGGCCGCTTCAACCTGGAAGGGTTAGTAACGAAACTCCATGTAGCTTCTTCTTGTAACCCAGCTACACGAGCCTCGGTGCCTCACCAAATCTCTCCATCAACAAATGAAAATAAAGCATGCTGCCCTCTACAGAGTGTGGCGTGTAACTAAAAATATGTGCCTAAATGAAACAGCAAATTAACATTGGTTCCACTCCGGTAACCTTTGCGCAACTTATAATAAACATAAAATATTTTACATCAACTTAAAATCATTAAATTAAACTGCCGCCGATGGCAGCCACAGTTTTTGATGCAACCCATGAAGCCACTAGGTATCATTGCAGAGCTGCAGAATAACAATTCAATCCCAGTCCAAACCACCAGAGAAGGGAAAAGTTATGTGGCCCTCACAGGAAAAAGTTTGGGGACCCCTGCTGTAAACAAATAAAATTTCTTCCAACAGATTTTACAGGGTTGGAGTCATACAGAGAGGTCTTTGACCGTTATCATCCAGAGGCCCTGGTCCTCTCTTATGTAAGCTCTTTTAAAATTGAAGAGAAACTGCTGTGCTCTTCGTGTTGTCCTTTTTGATCATGGTTA